GGCTTCCCTTCGACTCGATTACGAGGTTGCTCAAGGTCGGCTTTGGCTGGAGCCCAGGGGAAGAGGAGTCCCAGGGTGGGTCGGCGTCGTATCGACGCCGGGGGGTGGTCGGCACCCCCCCCTACCCCCCCCCCCTCCCGGCGGGGGAGGGATCAAAGGGAAGGGGCTTCCCTTCGACTCAATTACGAGGTTGCTCAAGGTCGGCTTGGCTGGAGCCCAGGGGAAGAGGAGTCCCAAGGAAAGGGAAGGACAGAGACGACGAGTACAAAGAATGACGGAGATGACGGCTCGAACGGAAAAGCCCCTCACACACGCCGACAGGGTCGGCGGAATTTTCTCGACCTCAGGCTCCGGGGGCCGATTTCGGGCCCTAGGGCCTTCGAAAACGGGTCCAGGATCATCCGCAGTTCCGGGCGTTCCCATGGAATGATTCGGCGGCTGCGGCGGGCCGGGCAAAAGAAGATGCGATGGAGGTTCGTGGAGGCGCACGGGGATCACGAGGACCAGAACGAGGAGGAGGAGGAGGAGGAAACCGCCTGTGGGATTCGTCGCCGACGTGCATCATTTCGTTGTTTTTTTTGCTCTCGGGTTCCGTGGCCTTCAAAAACAAATCCAGTGTCCGCGGCGTGTTATGGGAGCTAGTATGCAACGGCCCTGGCGCTGATTGCTTACTAGTAGTTCATCGAGCAGCCCCGGCGCTGACCCGATGGGCGTTCCCATGGCTTATGCAGAGCGGGCAGAAGAACAGGCGAAGGAGGAGGATGATGGAGGAGGCGGGGGAGGAGGGGAAGGAGGAGGAGAAAACCGCCTGTCGGAGGCGCGCCCGCCCGTAAGAAGCGAGGGCGGCCGGCCCGAGGGGGACGCACTTGAGGTTGGGACTTCGTTGCTCCCTTGTACCACAGTGCAGTGCCGCCCCTTCCCCATGTTGCCCCCTTAACCCTTTCCCCGTCCAGCCCGCTTATTTCGCTAACTTTTCTGCCCCCCGACCCATTCGCATTCTCAGCCCTGCGAGCCCTGATGTGCATTTCGTCTTGCACCCCTTGCCTTCTCAATATTTTTGCCGTTTGAACGTATTACCCGTTCCCCATCATACCCCCCATTCACTATCCCACCCCACCCTATCTTCACGCCCCTACCTTCCTAACACTATTGGCCCTCTTGCCCTTTATTTTTTTGCGCACATACCCTCTTCATTATCTTGCCCACGTGCTGTCTGGACCATCTTACCCTATTAAACCTGCTAGTAACCCTGTCGTGTTTTGTTTTGGTTCATTATCTTATTCACCTTCATACCTCATGCTGTCTTCTTCTTACATCCACGATCCATCGAACGATCTTGCCATTGTTGGCCCTCTTATCCCAAACTTCCCACGACGGATGATTCGCGGCCAGTTTCGGTCTCTGGAGGCCGCCGGCCGGGCTTTTTGCCCGACGCAGCATTCGAAACGATGCTGTCAGCAGGTGACATACGCACCGAGAAGTTTCTCAGTCTGTTTCCCAGACGGCTTCAAGACGTCACCAAGACGGTCCTCTTACCCTCGCACCCCCTTGAATAGCATTGACCCGCTTCACCATCCTACCCTCTTGCCCCTGCCCCCTGGACAGCATTGACCGTCTTCGCAGTCTTACTCTGTTACCTTCTTACATCCCGGGCTCGGCCTCAAGACGTCACCAAGACGATCTTCTTGCCCTCGCACCCCCCTGAATAGCATTGACCCGCTTCACCACCCTACCCTCTTGCCCCGTGGCCCCCTGGACAGCATTCACCGTCATCGCAGTCTTACTCTCTTACCTTCTTCCACCCCGGGCTCGGCCTCAAGACGTCACCAAGACGATCCTCTTACCGTCGCACCCCCCTGAATAGCATTAGCCCGCTTCACCATCCTACCCTCTTGCCCCCCTTCCCCCTGCACAGCATTCACCGTCTTCGCAGTCTTACTCTCTTACCTTCTTACACCCCGGGCTCGGCCTCAAGACGTCACCAAGACAATCCTTTTACACTCGCACCCCCCGAATAGCATTGACCCGCTTCACCACCCTACCCTCTTGCCCCCCTTCCCCCTGGACAGCACTCACCGTCTTCGCAATCTCACTCTCTTACCTTCTTACTATCCGGCCCTCGCCATCGCATTTTCATTGTGCTTTATTACCCTCGTGGCGCTCTTTTCTCGTCAGCCCTGAGACCTTCTTGCCCTCTCAGCCCTCTTACCCCCTCAATCCTCCTGACCTTCCTGCCGCGCTAAACCTCTCCGCCCTCCTGACATGGACAAGGGAGGGGGCAGGGATGGATGGGTGTCAAAGGCGATTGTCACGCGTGCCGGGCCCAGGCGTCGGAAAGAGGGTGCAGGAGGGGGGCGGAGGGAGAAGGGAAGCAAGACTGTAAATTGACGTTTTTGCTGTCGCTGCGATTGGAGCGTTACGGACGGCAGGAGGCTCATGAGGAGGGCGGGCGGGACTTTCACTTTCGTCTCGTTAACAGGGGGAAGGCGGAGGGAGAAGGGAAGCAAAATGGGAAGCAAAATTGTAAATTTACGTTCTTGCTTTCTCTTTGCGATTGGAGCGTTACTGACGGCAGGAGGATCATGAGGAGGAGGGGCAGCGGGAACTTACACATCCTCTGGATTCACGCAGCATTAAGTTTCAATTGTATTCGGTTTCGCACGTTCTCGGTTTCACCATTTTTTTTTAGCAGCGCACGTTTGAGCTTCATGGAGTAGGGTCAGAGACTTCACGCTTGTAAGTTTAGGCTCCGTTGTCGGGGGGACTTGGATCGTGGACTAGTGTCCTCTCGCTTTTGTGTTTTGTGGAGCAGCGTCAGCGACCTCGCGCTTGCACTGCCCGCGGTAATTGGATGAAAGCAACGTGTCGTGGACTAGTACTTGCTGTTGTCTGCCTTCCTGCGTCCCAAATCCCCCAGTTCTCCGCTGCGCCAAACAATTCTTCACGCTTCGCGTATCCCCGCCATCCCGCCCCCACCAGCCCGTGCCTTCTCGGGCTATGTTGTGCCATCTTGGGCGTCGTCGTCTTTGGCGTCGTCGGCGTCACCATTGCGTTGCCCCGGGCGATTGTTCGTCGTGTTTCCCCCGCCGCAGCGGCGGAGGAGGAGGCGGATGAGGAGGAAGAGAACGACTTTTCGGTCGCTTTGCGCAGTTTTGGAGACCGGTTTGGGTTATTCGTGCCTGATCGGAGGTCCTATGTGGCTATCTTGCCATCTGAGGCCTTTGAATCAGCTTGGGCTACTTGTGCCATTGTGGAGGCCCTATGAGGCCTTCGATTCATCTTGGGTTATCTTGTTCCATCCTGGCTGGAGCTCGCACGATGTCGGGGCTGTGCTCAAGGCTAGCATCATCATCATTGTATCCGCTTGGGCCCAAGCCTCACGTCCGGGCGCGGGTTGCGCACAGGGCGCCACGAGCCGTTAGCGCGGCAAGTCGGGGATGGCGGGGAACGCGGAGGACCGGGACACTATGTGCGCGATCTGCTGGTCAGACTTTGACGAGGCGCCTTGCGAGGCGTTGATGTGCGGGCACGTTTTCCATGCAGAGTGCTTGGCGCGAGACATGGAGGCAAGGGGCGTTTCTAAACGGCTGCAGCGATGCCCAAAATGCAAGATGACAGCAGACGCAGCAGAGAAGGCGCCAGTGGCAGGGGGCCACGGCGTCTTTGCGATCCCGGACGCCCAGGGGGGGACGCGGGTGCTTCGTCGCCGAGCGCAGGCCAGGGCATCCGGCATCTGCGGCGCCGGCAGTTCCTCCGGCGACGCTGCGGGGGCTGCGACGGATGGCCAGAACGGCAGCGCGCTTCCAGCAGCGGAGGCGGCGCCCGCCGCCGCCGCGGTTCCCCAGGACATCGTGCCTGCGGAGGCGGCGCCCGCCGACGCCGCAGCGGTTCCCCGGGACATCGTGCCCGCCGCGGGCGCCCCCATGGACATCGTGCCCGCTGCCAGTCAGGGCGGCGAGCTGGCTGGCAGCCAAGCCGGCGACGGCGAGCTGGCTGGCAGCCAAGCCGGCGACGGCCCGGTCATGCTCGACCCCCTCCGCGGGCTTCAGTGGAGGAGCGCCGCGGCGAAACGACGGAAGATTATGAAGGATGCCCCGGAGCTGGTGCAGCAGTGGAACGAGAGGATTAGGGCCGCCGCGGGCGCGGGTGCGCTCAACGACGTCCTGTTCAGCAAAGAGACCTCCGCTGGCTTCGAGAACGCGGAGACCGCGGTGGCGACCATCAAGAAGTGCCTGGAGTCCATCGCCAATGACACTAGGGAACCCCACGAACTTGCAGCTGACCTCGACTTTGACCAGCGGCCTGGGCACCCGCTAGTGTGGTACGACGTGGTGAAGCGCATCTGCGACGCTCAGGGCTACCACCACGAGGGCTTCGCGCTCCTCCTCGAGTCCAACATCGGCTTTTGCGAGCACAGCGAGACGTACCTGACCCACGATTTGGGCTGCACCCACCGTGTCTCGCCGTCGCAGGCGTGTCTCGTGTCGCAGAGTGCCTCCATGCGCAAGAGCCCCCAGCTCGAGTTGGCGGACAGCCTTATCCTCGACGCCGAGAGCGCGCCACTGGAGTGGGCGGACCGCAAAGTGCTCATGACGGACGGGACCAAGAAAGGCACCGAGTCCACCCTAGAGCAGTACAGGCGCGGGCTGCTCAGCAGTTCGGAGGGCGCCAATACGATCTACGTGGAGGGCTACTCGAGTAAGGAGGCCAGGATTCACTTCTTCTTCAAGCAGCGCCTGTGCCAGTGGACGCAGGCCGAGTCCATCTCGTCCCCGACGGGGCATGGGCCGATGGCGCTCGTGAAGGGCACGTACAATTTCGGCTGCCGCATCATCACGCAGCCCGAGACAGCGGACTCGACCATGCGCCCTGGGGCGCAGGGGTGGCACAAGCGCTTGTCCATCGCGGCGGCGCCTCAGGAGTCGCGTCTTGCAGGGTGGCGCGGAAGCAGCCGCTGTGCAGAGCGCGCGGGGGCCCCCGTCTTCCGCCCCTCAGCAGCGGGGGCCCCCGGGCGCGCGGCTCGGCGGCCGCGTCGGCGCCCCGGGGGATTTCGTCCCGAGGGCGAACGGCTTCGCCGACACTGAGTGCCAGGACTTCCTCAAGGACTTCTACGAATGGTGCGTTATCAACTGCCTCCCGCATCAGCACAGCATTGTTCCGGACGACTTCGCTAGCAGCCTTTACGACGCCATAGATACTGCTGCGAGCGATGGAGGAGAACCGCATCAACAAGTGGTGGAAGGCAAAGCTTTTGTTTTTCCGTTCTGACCTGCTCCGCTCCTCTCTGAGCACCATGCGCATCTTCCAGCACTGCGCGGGCGAGCAGGCGCCGCTGCGTAGCCAGATCTCCTTCCTCGAACTGGCCGCGGCGCTGCAGCGCGTGCACCGGCAGTGGCAGCTTCGCCACGGCGCCTACATCTCCATGTTGGCAAAGGACCCGTCCGTGGGCGGGATGGCGCCTGCTCCGCTGGCGGGGCGCTTGCAGTTGTCTTTGGAGCAGACTTTGCAGGCCGCCCTCTTGCAGCACACGCCTCGAGACGGGCGGATCACGTACACGGCTTTCCGCTTGGCAGTCCGCGGCAAGCGCGGGCCAGCGTTCAGGGGCGCGACGGGCCAGCCGGGCGTGGGCCCGCTGATGCCGCGCATCAAGGTGGCTGTGGCGGCCCTGGTTGCGGGCGGGGTGCTCGAAGAGGCGCCCGGCGCGGACCAGGGCTTCGTGAAGGTGGGCTATCTCAAGCAGTCCGAGAAGCAAGCGGCCTTTCGCCGCAGCCTCGGCGTCTCGGTAGAGGTTTTCCCCGATCCCTGAAGCGGCGCATGCATCCTCGAAGGCGCCCCAGCAGCCCCGCTGCCGAGGCGCGCGCAGGTCGGCGCAACACCGCTGCTTCAATTCGCTGTCGTGGCGACAGCGCTGCCAGCCTGCGCGCGGCGATTGCGCCAGCCGCCAAGTATTCGGCCACCCCTCGTTTCCTCGGCCGCGGCAAAGGCGATCCACGCGCCCGCGCGTTTCTGCTGCGTCTGCGGGGCCCCTTCGCTCGACCATGGCCCGATAGGTCCCCGACGGGGGCTCCGTCGCGGCCCCGGGGCGGCCCGGGCCCCACAGCGGCCCAAGAGAGCTTTTATAGCCCCCAGTGGGCTCGCTCCAAGGGAGCGTCTACGCCGCCTTGCGCCGTCTCGGGGGCCACCATGGGCTGTCCGTGCTATTTCGGGGGCCCTCTTAGGCTATCTTGGATCATCTCCGCGGTTGGCGGCGCAGGCGCGGGCGGGCGATATCGCGTTGCGCCCCCCCTGGCCGCGGTTAGGTGATCTCATGCATCGCCATCGTCGTCATCATCGCTGCAACCATTTGGGCTCAAGCCAGAGGCCCGGGCTTTCGCTGATCGCGTCTTCGGCCACCAGAGCGTCTATGCCGCCGAAGAGAGGCCCGACCGGGGGCCCGCCGCCGTGGCCCAGAAAAAGGCCCACCTGGAAGGATTTGCGCGGGGTGCGCGGCGCAGAGCCTGCCCAGGCGCGGCCGCTGCCGCCGCCCGAGGTGGGCCCGCCCGCGAGCCAAGCCGCTCGGCCGAAGGGGGGCCGAGAGCACCGGCGCACCCGCGCAAGGCGTGGGCGCCTCGGGCGGCCCTGCCAGAGCTCGGTGCGCGCGACGCAGCGGCGCTGGACGCTGCGCTGGCCCAGCGGGACTCCGCCCGCTCAGGCGTTGGCGCACGGGCAGACAAGCGGGCGCGCCTGGCGTTGCGCTTTCGCGCGGGGCGCACGCGGGGCACGCTGGCCCGACTGCTCCAGTGTGGACTTGTTAGCGGCGACGGCGGCCCGGCTGAGACGCTGGCCCCGCGGGCAGGGCTCGCTGGCAAACTTCGAGGCGAGGAGGTGGTCGTCCTCGACGCCTTCGTGTGCCGCGGCCGCCTTCGGTGCGACGTGGCCCCCGTAGTCCAAGGCTCTGGGGCGGGCGCCGCTGGCGGCGCGCACGTGCTCAGGACGAGTTTGCGGCGTGGTTTGACCACGCGTGCCGGTTCTGATCTCACGGACGTGCAGCATCGGTGGCGCTGCCGGTCGATCGTCCGCGGTGTTCCATGGATGGCGCGCGTGCCCGAGGGCGTGTCGGATGGCGGGCGCGCAGCATCGGTGGCTCCGCGCGCTCTCGTGGAAGACGCGCAGATGTTGCAGTCTTTCCGCCACGCCCTCGCCGGCATGAACGTCGCGGCGCCCGCGTGCCAGCGGCCCGCGGCGCCAGTCCTCGTGATCCCGAAGGCCGCCGACGATCACGCCCGGCAATTCCGGCACTGGGTCGCGCGTCAGCAGGGGGGGCCGCGCTGCAGCCGAGCGGGGAATGCAGGCGCGGGAGCTACGTTTGGGACTTCCCGTGGCCAGTGCAGCTGGACCGTCAGAGGTGGGTATGCTTCACGTGCATGGGCTGTCCACGAACATGGGCATTGCCCGCAGGCGTCGTACGGCGGGCGCGGCGACGACGTCGGGCATCGCTGTTACTTCCCAGTCGCCGACGAGGACGTGGTGCGCGTCGCCCCTGACGCGATCGTCATCCGCGGCAACGCGGCGGAGGGCGGGCAGAAGGAGGGCCGCTGTTACGTGACTGGGAGGTTCCTGGCGAGATTCCTCTTCTGCCTGAATGACACGCTGAACTTCCGCGAGTGCCGTCGGCAGCTGCTCGGGGAGTACGTCGCCGTCGCGCGCGGCGCGGAGGCGGGCTTGAGCGACGCCGGCGCGCGGGCAGTCCTCTTCAACATCGCTTTCGCCCTCCCCAAGCGCAAGATGTTGGGCATGATCGCCCCGCGCGCCTTCTCCGCCCCGATTTCGCGGAGAGTGTCTGAGATGCGGCGCCTGCAGAGTCTCTACAACGGTTCCGGGCTGCGCGTGGACGGCAACTTCAAGCTGGCGAAGAAGATTTGGAGAGGTGCCGGCAAGTCCCGCCAGAAGCCCTTCAGTTGCGTGCTCGGCATCTGCGGGACGGACGGATCGCCCCTGCTGCCTGTCGCCCCCGTCCGCGGGGAGGCCTGGATGGACATCAAGCGCGTGCTGCAGCCTCTGCTCGCGGACATCGTCTCTGCTCGCCAGGCCGCCGGCATGTCCTTGGAGGACGCGTGCCCTGCGTTCGTCAGCACCGACTCCTACAACAAGCACTTCAAGAAGTACGCCGACGTGGTGAATGAGGCGTGCCAGCTTGCCCGGGTGCGGACGGCTGGTGCCACTCCGCGCGGCCCACTCGCCGCGTGCTGCATAGTCGCGCCTTCCGTCGGCGTGCTCGTGGCAGGCGAGCCGTTCCACGACGTCCTCAACGCGAGGAGGTGCGTGGAACGACAGCTCGGATCCAGTCGGCTTCGCCGCATCCGCCGCGCCTAGATCTCAGCTGGCCCATCGAACTGCCGGGCGCCAGAGCCCAGCCAGCACCGGTTCATTTGTTCGGTTTTCCCCGCAGGGGCGACGGGGCATGACGTGACGAGGAGCGCGGCCGCGCGCCTTGACGGGCGCGGAGAGCGACGGCTCCGGCGGACTTCTGCCACGACCACGCTGACCTGATCGGCCGGCTGAACGCGCCCCGCGGCCCACCCGAGGAACCGCAAGGCGCGCCTCCCGTGCCGGCGCTTGGAGAGCGCGGGCGCGACCTCCTGCGGACTGCTGTGGCTCAGTCTGCCGCGTCCTTCCAGGAAGCGCTCGCGCAGGATCCAGACGGCGCGCGCGATTTGCGCGCGTTCCTCTCGTCGCCAGGGGTTCTCCGCGCGAAAGGCGTCTGGAAGAGCGCGTTCGGCGCGCAGCCGCCGCGCCCCGTGCTCGCGCGGGTTGCGCGTCGAGCAGGGGCCCAGCTCGACGCCGCGCACGGGTGGCATCTCGCGGCCTTCGGCCCGCCCCGCCGCCACTCTCGGGTCGCGGGCGGGGCCCTAGAGCATTTGGGAAATGTTTCGGGGGCCTTCTCGGGGACCTCTTGGCAGCTTTCCTGGAGATGCTGGGCGTCTCGTTAGAGCGATTGACCGCGCGCCACGTCGCGCCCTGGGGCGCGGCGGCGGATAACTACAGGAGCCGCAAGGCATTTAAGCGGGAAATTAAACGAATGCGACGTTGGTACAGTAGTCCCAAGCGCCTGGCGCGCCGCCGCCGCGGCATCCTGAGGGTCTGCCCAGCCTGCGCCCAGGAAGTGCGCGGCCGCAGATGCGTCTTCAATTCGAAGCTGCGGCGGCATTACAGCCGCCTTCTCAAGTCGCGACGCTTGAGCGGCTTGCTTGCGTGGCAAGAGTGCGCCGAAGGCTTGCGGGCCGCCGGCGTGGGCCCTCGATCCGGCACCGTCCCAGTCGAACAGTCTTGGGCCATCACTGCTTCGCACTGGCCATCCGAGACTAAGACTGCAGGAGAGAAAGTTTTCAAGTTTTTTGCAGACTTGTCATTCCTGCGGTTTTTGTACATGCACTTCCACAGTTCGGCGTTGCCCGCGTGGGTCGACGATGACGTCATGTATTTCCAGCAGAGCGAACGCGCCCGTCTCATGCTCGAGCCCGAGACAGCTCTGCGGCTGGAGCAAGAGTTGGCGGACGCCGCTCGCCAGAGTTCGCAGTGAGCTGCATGCAGGTTGGCGCAATGCCATGTTAATTTTTTGCAGGGGCGAGGGCGACACTGCCCTACCTCCCGTGGTTGGGCCAGCCGCTAACTCTTGTATTGCCTTCGGCCCATTCCACCACCGTGCCTGGGTTCGTGGTCATGAGCTTCTTGGATGTTCGTCGAGATGTCGCGGGAGACCTCTCGAAAACCTTTTGGAGGCAGTTCAATGTCTCTTAGGGTCGTCCCGGGGCTTCCAGGGTGGCTCGGGCGCTTCCTGGAGCCTCCCGGTGGCATCTTGGGGCGGAAGGCTCGAGCTGTCGGTTCGGGGGTATTAGGCAGGAGACCTGGGGGCATTCCAACTTGCGCCTCAGAGCGCGGTGGCGGATTCGGCCGCCCTGTTCGTCTTCCTCTCCTCCATTCCTCCTCGCCCATCGGCCGCCGCGTCAGCGATCTACGTGCCAGGCTACGGAAAACGCACCCGTCATCTCAAGTTTGCCAAGCCCCCCCATCGATTGCCTTTTTCCCCCTCGTTCTGCCGCCCGCGCTCGGAGAGAGCAGGATGGGGCAGGGATGCCAAGACGATGAGGGAGAGGAGGAACACGAGAAGGAGCGTGTGGAGGAGGAATCTGCCCCGCCCGGGCAGGCAATATCGCGTTGCGTTGCCCCCACCGCGGCGAGTCGGAGGTCCTTCTGGTTTGCCCGTTTCTGGCGGCCTTGGGGCCCGACGGCGGCCCCCTAGGGCCCGAAATCTTCCCGGAAACGTCGAGCAAAAACGCGCCGCCGCCGCCGCCGAAGACGTCGTTGCTGCCGCCGCCGCCGCCGCCGCCGTCGTCGTCGTCGTCGTCGTCGTCGTCGTCGTAGTATGTCGTCGATCCCCGACCTTCAAGGATTCTTGCTCGTTTTAGGCCTCTGGGAGCCGCTTTCGGGGCCTGGGACCGTCAAAAACGGATCCAGGACGAAAAACTATCCCGGGTTGTCGTCGTCGTCGCGACTTGTCCAAATCTTTCGCCCCCCCTTCCGCGCCCCGGGACGCCCTCGCCGCCACGGCTGGAGAGCGACTAGAGTCTGGCCAGAGCGCGCCCCATCGACAGGTCCACGGGCCGATTTCGCATGGAAGCTCGAGGCTCAAGGATCGAGATCGGGAAACGAGGATTTGGGTTCGTCTGGGGGGGCTGGACTGGAAGGACCCCACGAATGCACGTCAGGGCGGGTCGGCAGGGGGGTCCGCCAACTCCTTGTTGATGGAAGGGCTTGGGCGGTCAACTCGGACACTCCGCGCCGATCGCAAGCTTGAACGGCAAATCAGCGCGTTGGCGCCGAAGCGCATTTAGCATGCAGCTCCCAAAACGCCAGAATCACGCACGATCCACGGCGGCGCAAGGGCAGGGGGAGGAGGGGGGCGAGAGGGAGGGTGAGGAATGTAAGGGTGAGGATAAAGGGGGCGAGGAGGGGACGGTAGAAAAGATTAGGATGCGCTTCACCACGTCGTACCACACTAGCGGGTGCCCAGGCCGCTGGTCAAAGTCGAGGTCAGCTGCAAGTTCGTGGGGTTCCCTAGTGTCATTGGCGATGGACTCCAGGCACTTCTTGATGGTCGCCACCGCGGTCTCCGCGTTCTCGAAGCCAGCGGAGGTCTCTTTGCTGAACAGGACGTCGTTGAGCGCACCCGCGCCCGCCCTAATCCTCGCGTCTGTGGCAGAAAATGCGGATTGCTGGATAGCGGGGATAACATTTTCGTGAGCCTTTCCACCAGTACCGTCTGATTGGCAAATGCTAACCTGTCTTGTAGGGTCAAATTTCTTCCGCGGTTCTGCCTCGACATAACTTCATGGAAAGAAGACGCTACGCGTTCCAATGGATCTCTGATCAAAGCAGCCTTGAATCCATCATAATTGACAACAAAATCAGCAACCTCCTGTCTGGTGAGATTCATAGGTGGAAAAACCGTCTTCACCGTACCACCGTGATCGCGAGCGACCTTGAGCAACGACGTCCCACCATTCTTAAATGTATGAATAACGGCGGAGCCGTGTAAAATGACGACAGTGCTGAGGGCGGACTTGTGGAAGCCTGGGGCGCACGACCTAAATTTCTTCAGATGTGTTCTCTCGCTCCACGAGGTGTCGAAATAGTGGAGGGATGGGACGGTTGATGTGGTGGAAGCACTAGTGCAAGACAAACACGTACTTTTTAAGCGCAAAATTGCACGTCCAGTCGTTCCCAATCGTATTGCAGCAACGGACAGAAGGAACAAAATCGCCCACGCTGCAACGAACAGACGGAACACGAATACGCAAGCACTCGGCAGCGTTGCCGTGTTCACCATGTATGCGCCGATACCTCTGCCGCAATGCCCGCCAGCACCCGGAACAACGAACGTGTTTGGCCAGCACTGCAAACCGAGCAAATACGGCTCAAGGCAAAAAAAGGCTTGAGCCTTGAGCCACAATGGCTACGGACCAGGATCCTCCGATGGCCGTCTCGGATTGCCAACACGAGGCGGGAGGCCCTAAGGGAGGGTCTCCCGCTCGAGACGCCCTCGCGGTGCACTCACACTCTGGTGAGCGTCCGAGGGTTGAGTAACTCGGGGATGGACAGACCTCCCTTTAGTAAAACGTGGTTTAGTGAAATCGACCTGAGGCCCAAACCTGGCGGGCGCAAGCCTGGAAAATAACGGCCGCGGCGCCTCTCGAGAACCGAAAACGGACAATTCACTAATCGGCGTGTCACAGTTGGGGGTTCTGTCCGCCCCTGAGTAGCGCCTGCGAGCCTAAATCCCCAGGACGCCTCAGGTCATGTTGGCAATTCAAGGCGGCCACCGGAAGCAGATCTTTCAAAACCCAGGTTTGTCGACACCGCGGGGGCCCGAACCCCGAAGAAGTCTCGAGCGGGAGCCTCGTCGGTGAGCGGATTTCACGGAATTCGAAAGTGGGGGCCGTCTCCCTATGGGGCCCGCAGATCATGATAGTAACTCGAGGAGGTCATCTGAAAGCAAGTAAAGGCACAGGTGTGGTGACACCTGGCAGCCTGAATCCCGAAGACGTCTCGAGCGGGAGCCTCGCCTGTGAGTGAGTCCCACCAGCCCTCTGGGCGACAGGCGGTCTAACGATGTCTTTCTCTCCTCATCCGCAACCCCTTCTTCCCCTTCGGGGAGGGGTTCATCCCTCCACCTGCCCCCTCCCCAGGACCTGGACGGGGGGTTCCGCGAGGGGGTAGAGCGTCCAAGATGGCCTAAGATGGCCTCAGGAAGGCCTCAGAGAGCCTAACATACGTAGCCTCTAAGATCGCCCAAGATAGCCCAACATGGCTCAAGATAGCTAACAACATGCCTCCAAGAGGCCCCGAGAGGGCAACAAGACGGTTCGAGGTACTTTTGGCGACCCCTCAGGACCTCCCCGAGAAGTCAACATCCTTAAACAAACCTTTGGGGAATCACTGATGTTTGCCTTTCCCGATGCGCTTTTGAGGCCTCAAGATGACCCTAAGATGGCCCAAGAGAGTTCCAAGAATGGCCCAAGAGGCCTCCAAGAGGGCCCCAAGAGCACCACAAGAGGCTATCTCGATGGCCCCGGAGGAGGGAGGGAATCGAGAACCCCCCCCTCCTTTGATCGATGGTCTCCAAGATGGCCCCAGGAGGCGCTCCATCCAAGAGGGCCCCATAAGAGCCTGAAGGCGCCCCAAACGAGCCCCAAGAGGACCCCAAGACCCTCCGAAAAACCCCAAGAGGGCCGCAAGATGCCCCAAAAGAGCTCCAAGAAGACCCAACTATACCCCAATACACCCCCGTAGCTCCAAGAGGGCCTCCGACTCTCCAAGATGGCCTCCAGGAGGGCTCAAAACCCGACATCCTCTCCTCTCTTTGCACGCTCTGGTGCACTGTATGTGTCTCTTCGTCCCTCTTCCCGTCAGCTCTCATGGGCCGGGCTTCCGAATGGGCCGGTGGGGAGTTCGCGAGGCGTAAGCAGTTGCGGAGACGTGTCGAGCGGGCGCCCCCCTCCCCGTGGGGCCCTGCTTGTCCCGCTGGTGATCCGAGGCGGCCATCGGGAAACAATTGGAAATGCTTGTCTGGTGACACCTGGGAGCCTGAACCCAGAGAAAGTCTCGAGCGGCACAGTTGGGCTGCTGAAGTAAGGAACGCTACATAAGGAACGAAGCCCCTCTGCGGCTTCAAAAAAGCCTGGCTGCATGAGAAGGGCTAGAGGAACAACCACGGAAGGACGTAAAGAACATCGAGCCCCTTCCGAATCCAAACTGTTCCTTATTTCAGCGTCTTGGCTGTAGCCTCGTCTGTGAGTGCACGGCGAGGAAGTCTCGAGCGGGAGTACACCTGTCGATGGGGCCCGCAGGTCACGTTGGCAATCCGAGGCGGTCTCTGCGATCCGAGGCGGCCATCCCCAATCAAGCTGGTAAGCGTCGGCAAGAACCAGCA